TGGCCCAGGTGATCCTGGACCCGTCCTGCCGCACGCTCACAGGCTTCCAGGGGCTGGTGGAGCGGGAGTGGATCCAGGTGAGAGTTGCAGTCCCGAGGGGGATAAGGACCCCAGCACCCCCAAACTCTCTTTCACCTGTTGCTCCCCACTGGGGTCCCGCAGGCTGGGCATCCCTTCCGCCTCCGCTGTGCCCACTCTGCCTCCTCCCATGCCCGGCCGAAGCAGGAGGCACCACTTTTCCTCCTCTTCCTCGACTGTGTGTGGCAGCTGAGCCACCAGTTCCCCTTCTCCTTGGAGTTCAGCGAGCACCTCCTACTCACCCTCTTTGACAATGCGTATGCCTCTGCCTATGGCATCTTCCTCTGCAACAACGAGAAGGAGAGGCAAGTAGGGGGGACAGCACTATCCCTTGGGAGCAATGCCACGGTCACCCCTGAGGCAAAGCAAAGCTCTCACAGTCAGAGTTGGGGTCACACAAGGACCCACAAGCTCTTGCAGGGACTGAAGTGCATCTTGACTCTCCCATAGGTGCCTGTGTAAAGTGAAGGAGAGTACACACTCCCTCTGGGCCTGGCTGAACCAGCCTGGGGAGAAGAAGAAGTACCTGAACCCTCTCTACTCACCCAACACCCTGGTCATCTGGCCCTCCGTGGAGCCACAGAGCATCCAGCTCTGGCAGGGTGAGCTGGGTCCAGCTCTGAGCTGGGCTGCATGAGGGAAAGCTGCTCTGCTTTTCATAGAATCATAGAATCCCAGCCTGGTTTGTGTTGGAAGGGACCTTAAAGCTCCTCCAGCTCCAACCCCTGCCCCGGGCAGGGACACCTTCCACTAGAGCAGGTTGCTCCCAGCCCCGGTGTCCAACCTGGCCTTGAACACTGCCAGGGATGGGGCAGCCACAGCTCCTCTGGGCACCCTGTGCCAGCACCTCAGCACCCTCACAGGGAAGAGCTTCTGCCCAAGAGCTCATCTCAGTCTCCCCTCTGGCAGGTTAAAGCCATTCCCCTTGTCCTGTCCCTCCAGGCCCTTGTCCAAAGCCCCTCTCCAGGTTTCCTGGAGCCCCTTTAGGCACTGGAGCTGCTCTAAGGTCTCCCCAGAGCCTTCACAGCTGGAATAACCACAGCTTCTTCCTCTTAGGTTTATTCTTCCGATGGATCCGTTCATCCCAACACCTGGATGAGGCCTGGGGGGAGATCCAGCGGTTAGCAGAGAGTCACAACACCCCGGGAAAGGAGAGCACAGGGAACAGGCTGAGCAAGGCCCTATCCAACCCCCCTGTCTGAACAGAGAATGAAAGATGAACAGCAGCAGAGACAATTCAGTTCCTGTGGGTGGCTGGGCCAAGGTGAGCCAAACCCGTAACTCCCTCTCCACAAAGGGCTGCAGCTCGAGTGTTGCATCAGTCACTCCAAGCTGGGAACCAGCCTGGGAAATCTGCCCTTGAACCCAGTTTTGAGGAAGGAAAGAGATACAAAGCACCCTCCAGACAGAGAGACACCAAGTCAAGAGGGCTGGAAGGATGAGGATGTGCAACGCAAGCATGCTAGCACAGGAAGTAACTGTTCCATGGGGAAAGTTTGGATCAGGGTCAGTGCAGCAAATAAACAAAGCACCAGAACTGGGCGTGTGTGTGTCATCTGGAAACCACCACCCGGCTGCAGCACTTCCAGCCTGTTCACACATCAGAGCTGGACATGACCCTTGGCTCTGTATCCTCCCTGGGAAGAGTTCCTGTCTGCCCAGGGGTGGGGAGCCCAGCACACAACATCTCAGGTTAATTTTATTCTAGACCAGGAAAAAAGCTCAAACCCCACAGAGATGCTTTTCCTCGTGTTTTATAAAATATTTGTTTATTTCCTGATGATGTTTTTCTTCCTCTTCTGATATATAACTATGTCCAGTGCCCTCCAGGAGCCCACCTCCCCTCCTTGCCTTCACTTGACCTCCTATCAAAGCCAGTCCTGCTCTTCCAAGCTGGTTGGGTTTCTAGTTCTCCACCTTCAAACAGACCCTGAGTTGCTACTAACTGTGTCCTCTGGTGAGACTTTGCAACAGTTCAGTGCTGGAGCTGATGGACTAGGCAATGGGTTGGAGGGAAGAGCAGAGGAGAGGAGAATCCTCCTTTAAGCTTCAAATTCAAACTCAAAGTACTGGGGATCGAAGTAATGGATGCGAACGTATCCATCCTCACCCCCACTGCTGTAACTGTACAAGAGGAGAGACAGGGTAAAGTCACTGATGTTGTCAGAGAGCACTGCCTCTAGGTTTAAAACAAATTGTGGTGAAATCTGTTCTCACAAACCCCCCTGAAATGAACAAAGGAGTCACAAGACAAAACAAAGGATCAGGGACACAGCTAAAATGTGTGATAGGGAGTAAGTGACCCCCTCTGGCCAGCCTGGGGGAGGCAGCAAGGCTGGAATGGGAGCACCAAAGGTGCTTGCTCTGTTCCCACCAGAGCTGCTGCGAGACCAGCTGTGCCCAGACCACACAATGAGCTTGGCTTCACTGGGGCATGCTTCAAGACCCACACTCACCTCTTCCCATCGGGGTGAAACGCAACGCTGTTTATGGGACCAAAGTGACCCTTCACTCTGCCAAACTCTTCTTCAAAAGCCAAGTGGAAGAACCTGGGAGAAGGAAGATGATATGAATTATTATTATATTATCTATTATCAGAAGTTGGGAGCCTGATTATCTCCAACTTCTGGAGCTAACCAGGAAAATTAAGGTTTCCTCAAAAAAGCTCTGCAAGTTTAATGACTTCTCTGACACTAGCAGCAGCAACATGCTTTGGAAGCAGCACCCCTGGCCTGTCAGCGCTCCAGGTGAGGACTCGGCCTTGCCAGAGGAAAAGGACCAACCTTGCCTCGAATTTGCCAATCCTGGTGGAGGTTGTGGTCACATCCATGGCCTCCTGCCCACCACCAAGCACCACCTGCAAAGGAGAGAAGACACAACACCTCAGAGGTGCTTACACCATGCACTCTGGGGCAGGCAGATGAGGAGGGAGCCAAGCCTTGGGGAAGCCTCCACTAACCCAGAAACTCAGAAGTGGGCCTGACCCCAGCCCCAGAGAAGTTCCCACCTCCCAGACACGCTTGTTTGAGGAGCAGAAGCTTCATGCCCTGCACCAAACCACAGCAAAGTTCCCCAGACTCATTCCACAGTCATGTTTCTTAGCTGGCCTAGTGACACTCTGTCTTCCAGCTACCCAGGACAAGGTGGGAGTTGCAGTAAGCCCGTTAAAATGAGTGAGCTCATTCTTACATGGTCAAAAATGGGGGAAAGTGCAGCAGAGTTCACCGGTCGTTCCGTCCGGAATGTCTTCAGATGCTCAAGTGATGTGCAATCAAAGAGCTAGGAACAAAAAGGAGAGAGGTATTCTGTCAGAAGCCTTGCAAGCCTGCAGGTCTTGCAAGCTGATCTCAAGAATCCACCCCATTTCTGAAAGGAGGCCTCACCTTGGCTGTGTTGTCCTTGGAGGCAGTGATGAACATGGTCATATCCCTGGAGGTCTGAATATCATTGATTTGCTTGGTGTGCTCCTTGATGTTTGAAAGCTGCTCCCCTGACTGAAGGATAGAGGAAGCAGTTTTAGCAAGGCAAGTGAGCACACACACAACTTCCCTGTTAGAAACTGGTTAGGAGATGCTGCTGCCAACAATGGGTCAGATGTTGGTACATCAGCCTTGCTTAACGGAGCCTCATATTTGGAACTTGATGATATTTAAGGTCCTTTCCAACCCAAACCATTCTATGAATCCACGATATTTTAAGTATCCTTCCATAAGGCTGCTGCTTTGAGCCAAAAAGCCTATATTCAGTCCAACATCACCACAGGAACACTGAGATCTCCTTCTCCAGGGAGGGAGGATGCTGACCCTTATCAGACTGACCTTGGCACTGAACTGGTTCAGCTCGCCGTTCTCATGTCCTGCGATGATGAACTCTCCCAGAGGGCCCCACACAGCACTAGTGATTTTAGAGTCACTGCAGGGGATTTTCATGTAAGGTTCGTTGTTCTCTGCAGGAAGAAAGGAAGGAAGGAGACAGACAGACAGACAGAGTGGCACCGGCTCCAGCAATCAACGCTTCCCCTTATTCCCTCATCCAGGCATTGGCCTGGATTCCTCACCGATCTGGCTGGGGTCCCGGAGATCAAAGAAGCTCACAAAACACTGATATCCCATCTGCTTGTCTGTGGAAAACATGATGATGTTTCCTCCAAAGTCAAAGCCACAGGTCCTCACTGCAGAGCTGGTCTTCACCAGGGCAAGCTGCTTTCCTGGACACAGAGCAAAAACTGTCACTTCACTGGGTATTTTATTGCAAGGCTAATATAAAGTATCAGCTCGTGTCATGCTGCCACCACGTCCTCTCAGCTTAGCAGACTTCTCTGCAGGACAGAGCTGTGCCTCAAACACAGCTATATGGGAATGGGAGAGTCTCTTACCTGTTTCGCAGTCCCAGAGCCGACAGCTGTTATCTGCAGAGCCAGTGAGTACATGTCGTGTGTCCCCTGGGTCACCAGTTAGGGAATATCAGCGTGTTCTCATCCAGCTCCAACCCCTGCCATGAGCAGGGACACCTTCCACTAGAGCAGGTTGCTCCAAGCCCCTGTGTCCAACCTGGCCTTGACACTGCCAGGGATGGGGCAGCTACAGCTCCTCTGGGCACCCTGTGCCAGCGCCTCAGCGCCCTCACAGGGAAGAGCTTCTCCCTCAGAGCTCATCTCAATCTCCTCTCTGGCAGGTTAAAGCCATTGCCCTTGGCCTGTCCCTACAGGCCCTTGTCCAAAGCCCCTCTCCAGGTTTCCTGGAGCCCCTTTAGGCACTGGAGCTGCTCTAAGGTCTAAAGAAAAAGGCTCCAGCTCTTGTGTTAACACAACCTATGCAGGTTTCATCATGCATGTTATTCCAAACAACCCTGAAAGAAAAATATCCAAAAGATGGAATAAGGGAGACAGCAGAAGAGTTAAACAGAGTATCGCCCTTCTCTAAGAGGAAACAGTGCAGCAGTTGGGAGGAATCACCTCGACTGAATCAT